GTATAACTAGGGAGTTACGTTCCAAAAAATTGCTGTGTTATGCAAATCCGTGTTATACGAAACAAAGAACTAGTGCGAAAAGGGGGGTTAGGTTCCAAAAATTAAAAAAACATGTTAAATCCTTATTTAAATTGGATTTATTATTAATTTTTTTCATAGGTAAAATACTTATTTATTATTTAAGTAAATATTTTACCAAAGGATTATTCATTTTATATGATCTCAGCATGAGCATCATCAACTGGTAACAGTTTGTGGGTGCATTCGTTAATAGCAGTCGCTCTGCAATGGGAGTGCACTGCTGTTTGTAAGCATTTAGGAACAATGGTGAAAGAAAGATGGCAGTGCCCGCACTATTGATACTATCATGTGGAGGAATCTATAATTCTAAAATGAGTTTTTAGAGGCAAAAGAAAGGTCTCGATTGTATAATTACAAGGAATATTATCATCTATATATTCAAAAATCAATGAATAATTACATGCTTATTATTCTCATGAAATAGTAAAGCAATAAATTAATAACCTTTATTTTATTGAATAAAATAAAACATGGAATTGTCTACAAATAAAGTAATATGTTATAGTGTATTGGATTAAATTTGCAATAAAGACTTCAAAATGTTTTTCATGGAATACTTGAGGCAACTTTTCAAACATCTGTGCTACACAGAACACTGGTTGAGAACCCATTCTAAAAAAAATTGTGAGCGTGGGATGTTAAGGTAGTAACTGATACTAACTAGGAAAATGGAAGGGAAAGAAGGTCGCGCGTCGCGTGGAGAGACAGCAGGAAGTGCTGTGGTAGGCGGACTTGGAGGCATGATTCCTCTCATACCCTCTTTTGCCGGAGATCCAGATGGCCTTAAGGTCACAGATTTTTTTGAGTCCTTAGATGAGATTGGTAAATTGACAAATTGGACCAAGGCGCAATGCTTAGGAGTAGCTAAATTGCAATTAATGGGGATAGCCTGAGATTTTGCATGGAAGGTTGCTATGATGAAAGATGTAACAACTTATGATGAGTTCAAAAAGCTTATGATCAAAAGATTTGAAAAGGAACCTATCTCTTTACAATTACAAAAGTTTCATGCTTACGTGCAAGCACTGGGAGAAGACGTGCAGACTTACACCGTCTGCTTGCAAACCTTAGTGGTAGAAGTTATTAAAGAGCAACCTAGTGATTATGCACAGGAATGGGAAGTTGTAAAACGGTGCCAGCAAAAAGAAAGAGACAAACAGTTATTAGTGCAGTTTATGAGTGGACTCAATGATCGAATAAAGTGACACGTGATGTCAAAGGAACCTGATACCTT